AAATACTTGGGGAGCTTGTGATTATAATAATTAGCAAAGCAATCTACACTATGCGGGCCCCACAGGCCATCAAGAGAAAGAAAAAAATTCTTTAGTAATTTGCCAATCGTCAGTGTCAATTAAACGACTTATGTAATCAGCTTGCTGATTCGAAGTGCGAGGGATCCATTGCAATTCTAAATGAATTCCCGATCGAATACAAATATCAAAAATCCTTCGGGCCATTTTATGCAAATCTAATTTCATGCTGCCCACTTCAACAATCTTAGCAGCTACTTGGCTATCTGTAAACCACTTAATGTGTGATCCTTCCAACGCTGAGGCAAATGATTGTAATGAAAACTCAATAACAGACAACTCCCTCCACGTTGAACTTTGACTTCTCTCGTTCTCCGACCACATTTTGTGGCACACAAAATCATCGTTAAAGTCAATAATTTCTCCACCTCCAGTAGCACTGGCATCTGAATAAACAAAATAACTTGGATCTTTACTTACAAAGCAATACATAGTGTTGATATTAACCATATTTTCTTTCCAAAAATACAGTTCTTCCTTGCAGTAATCGTCGAGAAGGGATATAGAATCCCAATTATCCCTGCACATGGTGGACAAGACACAATGTCTGGTCATTATCCTGCCAATGCTACCAACTACGGGGCCGGTAGAGATAATTTGACCTGTAAAGGAGGCCAACTCTCTAGCAGACACTTTGAAGTCGGCTTCGATGATATGATCAATTGTATTGATGATCTTAAGATTTCTTTTTTCTACAATTTTTAAAGTACCTAGTGCGCAATTCCAGATTAAACCCAGCCAGTCCAATACTTGGGTGGGTTCCCATGCTGATTTGTCTTCATTGACAACAAAACCCGCGTTACACAAAACCGCCCTTACGGCCAGGGCCTTAATGCGACAACTTTCGCTATCCTGAACAATCGCCCAACCGTCGTCCAAGAAGAAAGCTATACAAAGACCCTGTATTCTCCAAGACTTTTCTAAAGGCTTCAAAACCTTTGTGAAAACATAAGGGGCAGAGGAAAGACCGAACGGGAGCACAGTAAAAACATAAAATACTTCATTGATGGAATTAGGCGCCCGCCATGAAAACCCCAGAAAAGTTTGGTGCTCTTGTGCAATGTCGATATGATGGTAACCGCTTTTTAAATCGAAGGAAAACATGTACGCGTCAGTTTAGCAAAATAAGACATAGCAATTTTCCAGTCCTCGTACTTAACACTTTGCTTGAATAAGGATTTATTGACGTGGCGCAAATCGAGAATTAACCTCTTCTTACCGCCTGGCTGTATGGAAACTGACAAAGGATTTACAACAAAAGGCTGCATCCGATCAGAATTGAGAAGCTCAAGAACAGCTTGGTCCACGAAATCAGGATGAAGTCGAGCTGACTTATTATTCTTAAGCTTTATGGCCAGCGGAAAAGTGACGAACGACAGCCTGTAGCCGTTTTCAATAATAGACAAAATAAAATCCGGAGCACCTATAGATCTCCAGAACGCTAAACTATTCTTCAAATTACCCTTAACACTTAAAGAATGTCCGCTTTCAAGTTCGTAATTCTGAGCAATTTGATCTACCTGCGCCAAGACATCTTCATAGCTTTGGCTGAATTTTTTGGCCTGCGGTTGGCTTGTTGTAGGAGATTCCAGTGAATGAGTTGTGGCTAGGGGGGCTGGTAACTTCCCGGCTGGGAAAAGGATCGACATTCCTTGGCCCATTATCCAAATTTGCCGCATTTGAAACAGCGGAAGAAGTCGCCAGAAGTGTCTCTACGGCCTTAAAGATAAAGGCAATGACGAAAACTGAGGTAAAAAGGAGGTGGGGGCGTAAACCAGAAAGATGAATAAACTGTATGGAACCGCAAGGGTGAATGGGACTCAAGAGACAGCGAAGAGTATAAGTACTAATAGCTGGCCAATCAGGAGATACATGTGAGACAGAATGTACAATAGTGGGTGGGGCAGGTGTGAAACGAAAACAACTGCAACTGATTACTTGGAGTAACAGCGGAAAATACATTTACGTTCTAATTCGCTTCACTCAAACGAACGTAAAGTATTTTACCCTTAAACTCCCGTAATATAAACAGATCACACGAGAAATATGGTAGGATGCGCAAGCGGATCCAAAACACATATGAACATACAAGTAAAGAAGAGGCTCCCTTTTCTTACCACGAAAAAGCTGATTATCAGCGCCCAAAGCAAATCTTGGTTTCTTTCCATGATCACTGGAGAGTTGTTCCTTTTGACGTCTCTTGCCGCTCGCGGCCTCCCTTGCCTTCTTGAGACGTTTTTCATCTTCGGAGCCGGATGCAAGTTCGTCTGACTCGTACTGGGCTACAACCTGCCAGTCGTCCTTGCTTTTATCAGTGATTTTTATCACCTTCTGCCGCTTTCGAATAGTTGCCTGCCTTCTTGGGAAAGTTTCTTGATTTGCGACAAATTTGGCTGGATACTTTCACTTTCGGTTTCTAATCTTTCAAAAATGGTATCTAATTCAGCATTAAGCTCAAATTGTTTCTGGTTCCCTTTGAACTTTAGCTGTACAACTTCTTTATCTAGCTTACTCCTTTGTTCGATTTTCTTTCCTTTATCTTCTAATTTTTTTCTCAAGAAAATCTTTAAACATGGAAAAGACTTGATCAACGGCTGCTGAGTTTCCTCCACTCTCACCTGAAGACGTTTCGCCTACTTCAGGCGGAACAAACGAACCCTCACTCTGTTTCTGGTCGTTGGGCATCATACGAATAGGAGAGCGTAAACCAGAAAGATGAATAAACTGTATGGATCCGCTTGTGCATCCTACCATATTTCTCGTGTGATCTGTTTATATTACGGGAGTATAAGGGTAAAATAATTTACGTTCGTTTGAGCGAAGCGAATTAGAACGTAACAATTTTTTTTCAGGTGCAAATCCTGCGCGAGTAACTCAGAAGTTAGTAGCAAGGATTTTTGGGATTTGAACAATCACAGCGGGACTTCAGCTCTATCCAACATTTTAGTATATACCACTGAGTGAAAATGCTTATTGTAGCAATTAAAATAATTTTAAAAATACAACGTACTCATTGTAGAGAAAATTGTGAAAATTCCACTTTCGACAAAATACCACTGGTAGACACAAGCATTTTTACATTCATGTTTATGAAAATAGAAATTTAATCGGTAAATTTTGACTTCACTTTTCGAGATCCTACTTTAAAAGTTTGTTAGATAAGTTACGCAAACACCATTGACGTTAAAATATGTTAGTGGTGTTTTAAAAAGTATTTACTGAATGATTAAAACAACTAACAAAACGTTTGCAGTTCTTAAGGACGTTTGTGGAGCGAACTTACTTGACTGTGTATTTTACTTGTCCCAAACCACTTATAACAGCGAAATCCATTCATTTGTTTACCTATTTAAGGCGTAAAATGTGTAAATTGTGAAAAATCGTTTTAGAGAAGCACGTAAAGCATATTTTCAAATATTTTTTGGCATAAAAAATATTTTCTGGACCACGAATGTAAACACTGGTGGCACCAAATAAGCTCCATTTGCAAAATTATAGCAACAGTGCCTAAAATTAGGATTCCGAAGTGGATAGTCTGTCCGGCAACACACATTGGTTGCACAGATTTGCATTTACTCCCTCCCCTACCCTCTCTATTGCAAACATGTTATAAAATTATTTCAAAGGCTAAGGGCAGAACATGAAGCAGGCAAGGAAACATATGGGAAAATTGCTAGAAACAGGGATGTTTCAGTCAAGATAAACTTTGCGTGCATTGCATCATCGTTTCCTATTACTGGACAATGTTGACGAAAAAAGACTCCAACACATATATATAAACAACAATGCCGATGAAACTTAGAAGACGTGGATGAACGGTGCCGCGCTTTTTTGCACGAGACCCTCTTAAGTGCATTTCAACTGTTCAGCTGTCCTCTCTTTTGAACGATCGGTAAATAACGCGATCAATATTAGTGTGACACAATTAAAACACTTTTTTAGTCCTTCGATGGATCGTACAAAAGATTGCTGACTGGGTGCTATATCAGGTTACTAGAGAGGTCGAGGTTGCAAAATAAAGAACTCAAGGCGTTTGCTGAATTTTTTAGCATAGTGTAAAAGAGGGATGTATTACGAATTCGATTGTTTCTATTACAAAGAATGGCCAGCTGATGTAAAGCTGAAGCAATAAAGACGATTTGTTTTTTGTTAAAAAACGCATACAAGGTGCTTTTACATTGGAAAATAACTACATTTTTAAATGTATACTTTCAGTTCAATTTCGTAACAACGGAAACAAATTAAACATCAAAGAATCTAAAAAAAATACAACAAAAAGTATTAAAAGTATTATTAATCTGATCTGGGGAAAGAAGATATTCTCTTGTAAAGAAATAAAAATTCTATTGTATCTTGTATCTGCGTGTTCTGTTTGTCAGGAAAGCACGGTCGGGTTTGTACGGGAAATATTAACATTTTCGCGAAAAAAGCTATAAGAGGGCTAATGGTAAATAAATTCATTTTGATTTCAAGCGTCCAAACCGTAAGAAAAATAGCGTAAGTCTTCATTTGGGCTCTAGCTTCCGAAAGCTTAAGGGGACGATAGCGTCTTACATCGTATTAACAATGAACGCTTCCGAAACCCAGACGATAGCGCTGTCTTAAACAACCTCTTATTCCTTTTAAGTAGTCACATCATGTGTTAGTTTATGCTAAAACAGTGGACAGTGTTGCAGGCACGCTCTGATTGGCTACTCAAAATCCGAGATCATTTGTTATTCAATTCCATGCAACTCGCCCGGGATTTACGCCCGAAAAGTATTGTGATCTTTATTGGGATAAATAAGTTACACATCCACCAGTAGTCGCCTTCACTTCGGTGAATATTTGTGAACTAGGGATGATTCGCATTATTCAGATAACACTCCAAGCCTAATTTTTATAGGAAGCGACTCGGAGGGCCAAAAACTATCACGTGGAAACATTTTAACAAACCTTCGTTTCATAACCTTTGGTTCTTCAACTGGTATGAAATGCTGAGAGTGATCTGTGGGATAGTGCATTCCCTGGTTTTAAAAACATCATATATACATATACATACATATACATATGTTAATTGACCACTCCCCATGGGGGCTTTTTCAGGGCCAATTCCCACCCACCCCAGGGGAAGACATCCATCATACAGTAATCTCGTGTGGGGGAAATTAACGTCTCCTACCCCTAACCCTGCAGGAGACGGGACCTTTATTTATTCGTCCCTATCCGAGAAGACTGCATTATCGAACCATTTCTTCATATAGAAAGGTAGCATATTCTTGTCACTTGTTTTAAGACCTCGAGCGTTGGTCCGATGAAAGAGGAACTTCCCCCGGATGTGAGTAATTAAATTCTTCTATGTGATCCATCCCTAAATGTGGTAAGTTCTGATTTGTGAGTTCGAGCCTCTGGCCACTCAAGCCACACAATAAGGCGTATGTCGCTGTTTGTGCAAATGTGCGGATACCCGCATTAGTGGGCATTACAATTATCCAACTTAGGATAAATGAGGGAGTCTAGTAAAAGGTAATTACTAAATGCAATCGTGATTTATGTGATGTATATGCACCAGAACGAAACGTTACTCCTATACGCCGACAGTCAGTAGACTTCGCTCAATTGAGTCAAACTTTTCTTTCTCTGTTTTTATTTTGATTATCGTCGTTATATTAGAGGTGCTACTTGATTAGGTTGTAAACGACTAAGAAAATGATTCTTGAGTTTCATTCTTTAATTCAAAATTTTACATGCTTGACTCATTAAATCAAGAAAATATATGGCGAATGAATCAGTACACGATGATTTCATCGGATATAAAGAGCTTTTCCCTGTTTGAATTGTTCGGTGAAACGATACATGTTTCAAAGGTATCGGTATCTTCAGACTTTTTATCTCGTCATGAGTCAACTCTTGTCTCGTTGTTTGATTCACCTGAATCTCTCTCGAGGAGGGAGTCGCTATTCACGGAGCTGTTGACACCGGTAGCTTTGGTTACTTTCCCTGTCATTCTTGCGGGTAGATAAAAATATTCAGTTATACTTTCATTTCCTGTTTTGACTTGTTCAACAGAATATTTATATCTTGAAATATGGAAGTCATTTTTTAGTAAAATATTTGATGATGTTATGCCTTCCATTTTAACAGTTGAGTTTGCGCTACTTTTGCTAGGGGATACTTTTTGCGTTGAGTTTAAATTTCTTGTATCACGAAGAGATCTGTATTTCGCTTGAAGATGCTTAGGTAACAAACTTATTAAAGTATCTCTTTTGATTGGAAAATAAAACAACTTTTCTTTCTTTGCGGCTTTAACATGTGAATGATCACTTATTTCATCCTTCAGGTATCTTTGTTTTGCTATTTGAGACGTTATGTTTAATGGATGTCCTGATTGTACACCCAATGTGCTTATATTTTGCGCTTGTAAAGTAAAAGTAGCTGGTTTAACTGACAACGGGTGGACTGGACCCTCAGGGTTTGGCAAGGACTGTAGATTAGATTCCTTTCGCCAAGGAGCATATAATGGGTTACTTGTATGCGCCAGGACTCCATCTTGTGATTGGTTGATAATATTTGCATTAATTCCAAGAGATCTTGTCTCATTGGTAACGGGGGAATTGGTGTTTTCGCCGTGCGCTTTAACAAGCTGTAAAGTGTCATCTTGGACATTTTGATTCGAGTTTGATGATACTTTACTAAATCCTGAATTTCTAAATGGAACTGCTACGGGGCTTTCCATCTGTACCTGAACTCTGTCTTTTGATTCGCTGAAGCGTTTCATATCAACTCCAGGGGATGTGATTTCATTGGATAACGGTGAATGAACATATCTCTGTTTGTCTTTGACCGGTTGCAAAGTCTGATGTGTTAGATTTTGATCTAAGTTGTTCGATGATCTATAAAATTCTGAGTGCTGCCATGGAGGAGACAAATGAGCTTGTGTTGAGGCCAAACGTGGCATGATTCCTGCAAGTTTCGTGCGACTTCTTTCCGAAACCCTCCCTCCCCTGTTAACCGCTGATGATGTCGACGAAGTGAGGGCGAGACCCTTAGGCAAATATGTTTCCATATTTGGATTGATTTTCTGCTGGTTTAGCTCTCCAGTTGCCATGGTGATGAATTTAGTATTTGTCGGAATAGTTCTATCACTACGGTGTCTTTGGTAAAATTTTTGGGGCATTTTTGGATAAAGAACGCTTACCAAGGTACCGCGTTTTGGTAACATAGTCTTGGAGCCAATGACCGCACTCGATTGAAACCTTTCTTGTAAATTTTGATTCGTAGTAATTCTTCCCGGTGAAAAGCGCATTGCACTTATACCTTGCTGGTTATAGTTATTTGTATCTAATAATTCGAACGCTTCTCGCTGTTGGCGTTGTTTGTCCACCATTTCTTGCGAAGAGGTTTGATCGAAGCGATGTCTTAATTTCTGCATCTGCATAAAGACTCGTTTGCTCGACAACTGTGGCTGCATGTCTTTCTCTGTTTGGCTCAGCTGTTCGATTCGTGCTAGTTGCTTTTGTCTTTCTTGCTGTTGTAGTTTTAGCTGCAGCTGTTTTTGTTCGTCGGGAGCTTTCAATCCCAAAGCAGAAAGAGCTCCTTTATCACTGTATATCTGCTGCGCGCGCTGAATGTAGTCAAAGAGATGAATATACCTAGGGAAAATCACATTCAAAGTGTCCAGTGGGGAGAACAGTCTTACGCAGGTTACACTTCCTTACGATGTATCATGACTCCTTATTTAAGCTTACTACGAAATAGACCACTTTTCTTTTTCTTTTTTTTTTCTTTTTTTATTGCACGGCAATATTCAGAGGAATTCGGCACATCTTCCTATGCTATTCAAAGGAGGTTTGATATGCACGAAACATGGGAATGGTTGGTGGACTATCTTTTCTATATCTCAGTCATTCAGTAAACCTTAATACGCCGTACTTAAGCACTATGGCTTTGTACCGACAAGGATAAAAACTCTGAAGACATGTCAGGCAAAAAGGAAAAAGCAGAGAGTGAACCAACCGTCCTTCTAAAGCAAACAAATCCCCGCATACCATTAATGACATATTCTTCTGAGCTTTTGTTCAGAATTGACCCTTCGATGAAAGGAAAATCTAACGATGCATATATGAAGTACTTAAAAGCTTCCAGTCTTACCTAGCGTCTTGCTGACCAGTCTGCACAGGCTGCATTTGAAGATTGTTTGGGAATATCCCTTGGTAGGTCTGGTGAATTTTCGCAGAAATTTGGGCTCTGCGAGTCATTAAATCGCTTTTTGATGTATCTTCTAAGCTGTTAACGGAATAAGAATAGCGTTGACGGAAAAAGCATGACTCATCAATTAGATATTTAATCAAGAATGGGTGGTCTTAAAAATCTAAATAAGTTTTCAGTGAAAGACATCTCATCATTGTTTTTCACTATTTACACTTCAAGGCCCAAACTGAGTATCCAAAGTTTTGCTTCCTTGTTAATAATTCGTATTCGTTTTTGTATCCTTGATAGTCTAATATGAAACTTTCATGGATAACTCCATAGGGAACTTTTCCATTGACTGCCTTATTAGTTACGGAGGCCTTAAAAGAAAGGAACAGAGGTGAGTTAAGCCCCTTGAAATCTGCTCTTTCAGTGTTTTGGTGGGTATGTTAAGCCAAAATGCTACCTTCGCCAAATATTGTTCTATGTAGGTAATACAACTTTTGTTTAGGCACGATATAATAGTTTAGCTGATTGCGACTGGACTATCTAATACAACCCCGACGAAGGGCTAACGCTCGAAACTTCAGTTTTAGAAACTGTTTACATAATAAACTAAATTGATTAAAGCCAGTTATCTTGTAATACCCTCACCCAGCGAGGCAGCACCCTGGAGTCAGAAACTTGCCCCCTTTATCTAATAAAACCTTTGAATGAGTGTTGGATTTACCCTTTTCCTCTCACACAATTAGGCCAGGGGATAGTTTGTCTTTCAGGATATGTGAACCACTCTCCAGTGAGAGGCCCACACATGTACACTACTGCAGGCTTAGACTCAAACACGAATCCATCATCGCATTCTGGGGCACAAAACAAACGAAACAAGCTGTCGCAAACCATGCGCCCGTGTTTTGGGTTCGGGTACCACTTACATCGTTCAACCGAATCTAAAAATAAATTGAAAAATGACAAAAATATTTCAAACATCACGTTTTTGCTACTTGCGGCGTCTGTGAGAATTTGAGCCTCATTCAATTTAAACTGATTTTAAGGTGATTTTTTTAGTTACCGGTAAAAAAACTCCTGCCATATGATAAATAGAGCGTGCGACAAGAACACATTACAGCATTGTATTATATATACAGAGAGAGAGAGAGAGAGAGAGAGAGAGCTTTAATTTTTCAGCCGAGATGTTCAGAATTCTGCTCAATTTCTAATGTATAATCCCATGCAATTTACTCAGATCTGACGTTTGACCATACGCAAGCCAACCTGGTGGTCAATATTACCTATTGACCACTGCTTACCTGTTGTTCTCCACAGCTGAACACTTACAGCCAATAGCATGAGAATGGCGGGAACGTCCATGAATGACAAATTTTCTTGGAAGCTAACGCATGACGCCACGAGTGATTTTCACTTTAAGAAAAACATAAATCGACAAATAAAGATACAGAACAATGAAAAATATACAAAGTGAGATAGGTGACAGGAATTTTCCTCGCTCAATACAGGCGTCTTTGTTGCTCGGTTACTGAATGAAGGGCAGTAGGCATGAGTTCCTGTCCCATCGATATCTGAGCAAGCGTGACGTCTTTGATCTTTCTTATTCTGTTTACATACATGACGCTTTCCACTTGCATACATGACGCTTTCCACTTCACTAATTTATAGTATGCGAGAAGCGTGTGGCAAAATGACCTCGTAATCACCGAACTCGCCGTATAGTCTCCGTGGCTCATTGGTAGGGCATTGGAGCGTGACATCCAAAAGCGACTTTCGATTGCTCTCACGAACTAAGAATAATATTCTTTTTGCCCCACGCACGTGAAAAGACGAAAAAACGTTTTCTCTTTTCCTCTGTTTTATTTTTCTGCCTAAATGATCTAAATTTTCTTCGTAAGTGGTTTTTTTTAAAGTTGAATTTGATATACAAATGAACTTTCCGTTTGTTATACGACAGTAGCCTGAGAATTCATATGGACTAGAAATTACAAGTCGTATATTGTTATAACTTTAACTTCCTTGCAAAAATGGCTCTGTAATGGCTGGACACCTACTGCCATGATCTCTTGTTTACGCACCGTGAACCCATTTGTATTCCGGTTGCCTTCGAGCACAGTGGTAAAAAATTGATGATAATAACCTGAGCTGTATTCATTTTGGTACTCTCGTGTCCCAAACTTACCTCAATAGTGAATGTGAATCTTGTGGCAGATGTTATTGTCCTATTTTTCGTTGTTAATGACGTTGGTATCGAAGCGGAGATGACGAATTTCACATTAAAAATCTCCTGCAGAAATAGCTGAAGACCTTTTGTTTCTTTGTGTGAAGCACATGTACTGAACAATTCTTGATAACGCGAACATCGTTATACTGGGTACGATTTCTGACGGCAGAGATCCATTTGCTGACATCTGATATTGCAGAAACGATTGACTGTGGTTAAAGCACAAAGTGTATTGACTAAGATTTACCAGTGCTCTATACTGATCATTTTCTATATTCTCTCAGATACACTCACGGAGTACTTGCCGTGAATTCTTATAAGAATTTCAATTTCGAACACAAAAGACAATGCTTGTTGACTTTAGTTGGCAGGTATGACCCGTTTAGCCACTGAACTTTTAAACCCATTAACAGGTGGGCCATTAAAACGTTTTCTGCTTTGATTTCAGTCTTCTCTCACAATACATTTCAAAGTCAGTACCTTTTGCGTGTTAATCTGTGACATGAGATAGCTTCATTTCCCGTTTTTTTTTTCTTTTATTTTTTTTTTCAGTTTTTGCTTAACAAGGTTAAGGTGTATTATGTAATGTTTAGTATACCTTTGAAAAAGACCTGTAGCCCTCCACTTCGTCCTGCGTCAACAAAAATTTAAAGCTAATAATGTATCCGAGAGTCTTTAATAAATGTTGCTTTAAGTGTAGCATGAAACTCAAATTTGTCAACTTGATATAGTTCTCTTTTAGGCCTTGCTTTCAATTCAGTTACTTTAAACTGACCCAAAACTTGCAGTTCGCGCCTTCGACTGAGGACCAAAGAGTTTTACGTCGAGTTTTGCGCGGAATATTTGAGTTTGGCGTTGAAAAGAAAATATATTGCCACCTAAACGTGAGAATGGGAATCGGTGAAATGTCGGGAAACAAAATCTTGAGGGATCAGCAATAATAGAATGTCATTGTCTTAAGGAAAAGAGGCAATGCACTGAGTCGGTTCATATTACCCAAGCCTAAGTGGAGTCCTAGACAAAACGTGGCTTTCTGATTCTTTTTTTAATTTGAGATTTCACTCGATGTAGCAAAGACTCAAACAACCATGGAATTTCGTTATGACTTCTTTATTTGCTACTTTAAAACTTTGAAGAAACTTTCAGAACCATCTACCCTCTACTTAGCCCAAGCTGTTTTGTTGAGTTGCATCCGTGAAACTTCTTACTCTTTTAACGAATTGGCAGATATCGCAGGCCAAGGCCAAAAGGCGTTCTTGGTTTTAGCCATGGTTGCTTTCAGCCATTCCATCTTAGGAAATGCGCGTAAAAGTACTTTCTTCATGTCTGTGTCTTTAATCCACTTCAAGCCTTCGGGTGAGTAAGTTTCATCGTTATAATTATCCGTCATAAACCTGGAAAATAATGGCGATCGTCAGTATCATTCATCTTAACATCCCAACACGGACAACGTGTCTCTTTGCTTTCAAAGAAAAAAAATAAATAAATAAAAACTAGTTAACAGATTTTGATAATGAAAATGAGAAGGCAGAAACAAATTTTTCTTGTTAAAGTCTTGGTGGCAACAGATTTAGAGGTCATGAACACATTTGAAAACAAACTCGCGCAGTTACTGATAGAGTTGTTCGTTTTTCAAATAACTCTCAAGCCTCCTGGCCTTTATTTTGAACTCAGACAATGACGTAGTCATAAATCCAAGATATAGGTGTGGATGGACATTTATTTCTTTGTGAGGTTTTTTTTCACTGACCTGTCTACCTGTACTCTCCGAGACGCCATAGTAAGAAATATGTTGAAAGCTGTTTCACCAAAACCCCACCCATCTGGCAGAGGGTCCTCTGCAAGACAACCAATCAGCAGGTCTACTTTCTCAATGTCGCCGTCGTACAGCTCCTTGAGTAGCACCTGGTGCTGTTTATTTCTTGTAAGCTTCTCAAATGTTTCAGCGGGAGCGAGATTTGTCAGTCTTCTGAATTCGTTATACCGCGGGATTCCTCTCTCGCGGTCACGCAATATGTCAACTGTTGCGAGGTCGATTGTCTATCAAATGATAAAAGATGACGAGTGTAAATGAAACTGAGCCAAAAATAGACCCAGCTCACTAGGATCCGGAGGAAAATTTTGGGGACAAGGTTTTGACTGACGCTGAGGCTCGTCGTCCTTCCTTCATGCAATGTTGGCTTAAAACCTAAGGATCACACTTTATTTTCCTTGAGTTAAGCATCATTGCAAAAGAAAGGGAACGGTGAACAGGACTGGTTACTTCTCCACGAATTTATAAATTCTGCCTCTGACTGTATTCACCATGCAATGCTGAATGCAGTCAGTGATACAATAACGCAAATTCAGATATCAGACATATTAAAAATCAACTTGACATTTTCGCAAGATGTAAAAAAGCGCGATTTGGCACGGCAACCCTAATGAACAAAAAACTGTTAAATGCTAAAAAAAAAAAAAAAAAAAACAGCAGCAACAACCAGCACACGCACGCTAAAAAGAAATTTAGAAGCTTATTTGAGTTTCTGTTGTTCATCTAACATTTGCTGCTGACTCAAGTCTGGCATATTAGCACAACTAGCTTGGTTTGGTTCTTACATTTCATATCAAGAGTTCTCAATACAAATCTTGTCCCGTCCTCTTTACTCCTGCCCCAGGCTTTTCCTATTCCCCACAATGTACCGAATACCCCCCTCCCCCGTCCTTAGATTTTTCGTACCTCTCCATCTTGTTGATGATTGGGTAACTTTAGGTTCATGAGGTGTTTCGGGTAGTTATGAAGACGGAGTGCTCCTGGATGCTCCACACCGAATGTGAACACAATATCGTCCATGCTGCTCTCTTTTATGATTTTCCTGGCCCCAGCAAAAGAATACTCTGGGAGTGAGTACGATTTTCCCGTTCTTTGACCGTTTGAGGCATTTCGAAGATACAGGTCATCAGGTAGAAATGGGTGCATGCGATACACTGCTACAAATTCCTCTGTCAAGGAAAAAGGAACTCCATGGTACTCGCTTGGCTGTCCTACGAGAGGTTTCAGTATATCAGCGCTCGCTGATACGCTAATCTTGTGATCAGCCATCCAATCATATATTTCCTTTTCAAGTGGCAAGTCAAAATTCAGATATACTCCGTTCCGGAGAGCAGAGCTGTTTAAGACAGCTGGGGTCCATTCCACTGTGTGAATTTTCTGAAGCCCAGCAACGTTGATCAACCTGTGGGAAGAAATAAGAAGCGTGAGCTATTTTGAGAAAATGCAAGGTTTTATTTGAAACTAATGGGCGTTAATATGTCGTCCACCAAAATTGTTGTTTTAGGTAATTACATGATTTCTAGTTAAATTTTCAAATGAATTAGCACGAGTAAATTGTTGAAAGGTTAACCAAACTGTCCGAGCGTGTAAGGCTAGTACAATCTGTAGTGTTTGGAAAATTTTGGAGATCCCGTGATTGCTTGCTAAAAATATCCATGCGCGCTTGAATATGTCTCGGTATTTCGTGCCTCGTTGCCGTAGAAGCCACGATTTTCCCTCAATAAGAATCTGCTTCAAGCTTTTTAATTCTTTACCCTTTCCCTCCTCGGTGTAGATCAATAGCAGTAACCTTTACACGAAGGCTACATGGCTCTTCCCTGCCTCCTTTTCAAAATGTTGCGTAAAACCCCTCGAGAATTTTGTTCTGGGCTTTCAGTTCACACTTTCCAATACTTTTGCCAAGTCATAACCCCCTTGAGAGGCTCATGACTTCCAGACTCTGATCAAGTAATCAGTGCTTTGTTTGGAGCTTTTGTCCTCTGCATTTTTCTTTGAAATCTAAAGAAAAACGATTTTACTTTCTTCTAGTCTGTCCGCAGTTTGTTTTGTTGCGCTTTCGCAGTGCAACTTTCCTGTCAATCGTCATAGTTTCCATTTACTGCACTTAATGAACCTTTTTTTTTTTCTCAATTTCAACTTTCTCCTTAGGAATTAATGTAAGTGATTTCAGCCAAGAAGCACAATGAAATTTTTAGCATGAATATCAAAAACGTAAGAACTATGTGATGCTCTGAGTTTTTTCCCCCGCAACCAAGAATGACCATTCTCCTAGAAAAAGGTAATAAAAACAAATTTGGTAAAAATAAAAAAAAAAAAAAGGAAAAACATCGAGGAAAAAGGAACGAAAAGGGTTCAGGAGAGCCCGCTTACAGGCGGTAGTTTGAGTTTTCAAGCGGGAAATTCAGCGCGGCGATCATTCGTTCACCATATCGGACGGAGGAAAGATCTAGGACGAGTGACAAGGTGAGGGGGCGAGGGGGAGGGGAGAAAAACTAGAAAACCCTCCCCCTCCCTCCTCCCCTTCGCTTTGTCACCCATCCCAAATCTTCTACCCGTCCAATCTGGCGAGTAAAGATTCGAATCTCGTGCCTGAAGACACAAACTACCGCCTGGAGGCAGGCTAGAAATTACACAGATTCCAAATAACTCACAAAAATTGAGCCGAGGGCGATGGAAGAAGTTTATCTATTCTATGATCATTTGATTTGATAACGGAGGATCACATTATATGAGATTAGAATGTCATTGATTTTCGTAAATCCATTGTCGTTTGGCAATTACGCCCAGTACTTCTGTAAGCATACATGTCTTCGCTACAAGGTGCTTGTTAGGTTAAACGCCGCATTACCTGGCAGTGTCATACAATTTCTGGTCGTCCCAGTTAGGATAATGCAATTTCAACATATCGCAAATAGAATTGTGCTCTAGGCTAAATATGTTATGCAGGAGAGAGAGACCGATCCACCAATTCTGACTAAAACCTAAGAAATTAAACAAAAAGTTGTATAGTTAATGAAGTACTCTGGGATAAGCTGACCGGGGTACCCGTGACCAATGATCCCAAGCAAGAAGTATAACTTCTTTAGTAATAGTATCGACCGTGGATAGGAGGGGTTCCATGCTTTTTGAAGTCACCGATGCAAGCGATAGCCGACGAAGGGCTAACGCTCGAAACGTCAGCTTTTGTAATCATTACGGTGGCCAATTTACCATTTCAACTTTGTTGATATATGCAAATTATAAAAGGGCAGATCACTTATGCTCCAATTCTTGCTCTGAATAAGTTCTTATATACGCTTGTGATAGAATCTCTTACACTTTTAAATCCTAATTGACCTGCGGGTGAATTCAAGTGGAATGATCCTTACAGGTGGGGTGCGTGTGGCTTCGCAGGCAGAAGCGCACAACTAGTATCTTAGAAGCACAGGCTCGACTCCCATGAACGTCTGAGTTTTTTCAGGCTTCTATTCTGAGAGGTTTATTTATTTACCTAAGTTTTTATTCCCTTTTCATCTCGGCGAAACAAGTTCAGTGTCACTTGTAAAATCAGTGTAAGTTGAAAGGAAATGACAGTACCTCCCATCCACAGCAAGGCAGTATTCGCTTAAAAGAAAAACCTTAGAAGGTGGGAATTTATCATTAATTTGACAGGAAATTTCAAAGCTTTTGCAAAAATGATCTTATCTTCCCTCGAGTAACAAAAAAAAAAAATTTTAATGCACAAACGCACCAGTAATATCAATGCCAGTTTTCTTATCGATCGGCAAGAGACCATCTTTATCTGAAACTTTCATTTTTCCATCTTCGAAGCTGCGTAGTCTTGCATTTGTTTGGTCATCGCTGGCATACAATTGTGATCCGTCCCACCAATGCGTGTTATCATTCTGAAAGGTTGCGGCTCCATCTTTATTCTGTCAAGAGAGGAAGGGTAAAAACTTGCGTCACCAGCATGCAGAATGACTGAGAAACTTCATCTTACGACTACACTGGTAAATGAACTCTCTGCTATCTCAGGCAAACCTTTTCACATCGTATGGACACCATTGATTTCTTTGCAGTGTCCTGGATGTCTGTCCCGAGCCTAGCTAGTTTAATCAGTGATGATTAATCAAACGCGTCTTAAATGAGGCTTAAATTATGGGTCTTGCTGAGGAGTAAAGTCTGTCTCTAAATTGCTACCCGGAATAGTCTTTCGTTATACATACTGAGATTTATTTACAGTTTTCTTCACAAGAAAACCCGCTTAAAAAATTCTGATAGCCAATCACGGAAGCGAATTGGCTTTCAATCCAATATGGAGAGACTTGTCAAAAAATATAACTGATTTCATTCAACAACTTCAAGTTTCTTGCGTGCAAACCTCCATAGCTAGAAAATTTTCGTCCCAAAAGTACAAAAATATTTGTACTTTTAACAATGGCTGAAGAATTTACGAGATTTGAGCATTTAGAAACGTCAATTGCCTTCGTCTCGGTCCATAAGAATGCAAAAAATAAAAGAACTCGGCAAATATCCAGCCATCTTGGCCTCAAGCTCAGTTGGTCAATAACGTACATATCATTACGCTTACTCTCAAAGGAATTCTTATTCTTATGAAAACAATCAACTGGTTTATACTACCGAGTATTGCTTGCAGTTGTCCTCTTTAGTTCGTGGAATTCTCATAAATTCTCCATGGAATTTCTGATCATCGGTATCATTTTTGTCGAGGCTGATATTTATTCTGCGTGATGTGTCGACCGGCCCGTGGTCAAACCAATCGTGTAACATCATTTGTAAAAAGCCTACGGTCAACAGGTTCAATGTCGTGGCGGGAATAAATTGGTCTCTGGCCATCAACCTGAGTTTAAAACAGGAATACAACGCCTTGAAACAATTAGAAATTCCACACATCTCTTGTAACACAATGGAAGCCACCAAACTAAGATTTCTTCCATTCGCTCCCACAGAGGGTTGTCATCTTATCCTCCGGACTTACACGTAGGGAGAGAGCGATGAAATCATGATTGTCAATTAGAGCAAAGGCAAATATTATCGGGAGCAAGTTTAAGTTAAATTAGCAAGCCACCTGAAGAGAGAGAAAAGGTTAAAGGAAAAGACCTGACCCAAGTCCTCCAGCCTAATCGAGCAGATTATTTTTCTTGCGCAGTCCTTGGGATGAGTAATCAGTGAAAAATTGTTCTAAAATGGTAAGAACTACCTCAATGACTTACCTTTTGCTCAGCTTCCTTGGGCACGGTTCGAGAAGGTTTTTGTCCTCAAACGTCTTCGTGCGATTAATGTTTCTGCCAAACCGGTAATACCTGCTTCCCGAAGCCGGATGATTCAGGTCATTACAGGTTCCGTCATGGGTCCTTACTGATTTCATTTCCTCTGTACAAAACACTACGAGGAAATGTCGGTAAATCATTATTTGTTGGAACTCAACTAATGTTTACTTTCAGGTCTATATCTTGGTCTCGCCATACTTTGAAACCTGGGTGATAAATTTTAATGAAAATAGTTCACCTAAGTCTTCCTTTGGTGTCATCTTTAGACAAATGTAGACAAGTAAGGGAGCATTTTTCGATTACAAGGAAATCTCGAAGATTTTCGAAGTGAAAATGTAAATAAATTTGATTACTACTACGGTAAATAAGACACTAATAGAGAAAGACAAAAGCAAATAAATAAATTGAACTAAGTTTTCTCTCCGTAGATGTTTCACTGCTAAAAGTTCTACTTGATAATGTATAGCTCTTTTTCAAAAATCACACAGCAAGATCACGAAATGAACTTAGCCATCCACAATATCTACAAATATGTTCTATGTTTCTGTGCGAGAATGGCGAGCCCGGCCCACAGCAGTAGGAAGCGAGCGTTGTCACTAATGCGCCATCCCATAAAGGTCTTTACACCCGCCCTTTTCTTAACAACCTAAATTAAAAACGCTTTTATCTTACTTGTCCTGAAGATTTTAATCTGAGAGGATCTACCACATCCAAACTTGCCCTTCTTACATTCCACATATTTCAAGATTTTATCACCACAGTAGCACTTTCGACAGTGATCAAAACCTGCATAGGCGTATCTGTTATCTTTACAGTGGTTGACACACTCTTCAATAGTGAGGCCATCCTTGATGCGGAAGTATGGAAACGGGGAACTCTTTTTAGTGACACAGCCCAGAGGTAAATGACCTGCAATAGTTTTCAAACAACACATGAACTCATTTGTGAATTCACTCAAGAAGTTTTTCATAATTAACATATTTTTGTAATGATGAGACTACCCTACTTAGAAAAATGAAGAAAGGTTGAGTCTAAGAGGTGAAGTACCCAATAATGTCCAGCATTTATTTCTACTTTCGGTGGCATTAGACGACTTGGAATACATCCACCAATTCTTGATGGGATGCTGTCCCATTGCTAAATCACTTAGATTTCATGCAGATTTCAGAAAACTCATACAACTTGTTCGGTCCTCGCAACCATTCATGGGAGTGTCTGCAGTTTCTATGAGTCTTTCAATCATTTTCCCGCTAGAGTGCCTCCCAGAAAGGACAAAGCACTTTTCAACTAATCTTGCGACATAAGCGACTTCATACACCGTAGACGAGACTCCCGAATTTTTCACCGGTGAGTCTGTCTTGTTGCGGTCTGAGTCAGTTAATCATTCACTTGTGTACTACCATTTTTACCTATTAAGGGATCCTGACAGTGATATTTCGGTCCCTTTTTTTCGAGAGAGTAGCCATCGAATAAATTGTTGTTAAACATAAAATCTCGTTGATTAAATTGGTAAACCATTGCGAGCACGACTGGAAGCTTCCACCAATACTTCACTTGAGGAAGAAGTATTTGAATGAGTTGGACAATTTTCGCAATCAGTGGATTCATTTTTGCCTGAAGAAATAACGACAGTAACACAAAATCAACATATACGACATTAGGTAGTGATTACCATAGTTAAAATGCTCATTCAGTATACAGGGAACGGGACAAATTACTCAGCTGTTGTGGAAATCTTTCTTGAATTCTAAATATTTTGATTGGTAATAATGACGGGAAGAAAACTCAATAAGAAAGTGAGCAGCTGTTAGTTTGGAAGACAATAGCGTTAAAATTGCCTTAATTTAGTTTATGTTTGTCCTTTCCATGCGCGGGTGTTTTGGCAAGCTTCCATTTCAAATTTTCCACTTTACATTCAAATAAGATTTAAAGGCTAATAGTTTCGAAAGAAACTGTTTGGGGCTGCGTCGGTGGGAGTAACGAAATAATTTGGATATATCAACAAAGTTGAAATGGTAAATTGGCCACCGTAACGATTACAATAGCTAATCATTCTAAGCAACATATGGCAATCTGCGGTCTTTCCTTACACATAGGTAGCACGGAAAGCAGTAAAAATCTTGAACAAAAGCTCATCTTTCAAATCGGCAGTCTATATCCCACAGGGATCAACGAACGCTTTTCATTCCACTAGTTTATTCATGTTTTTCTCGTTGCCATGTTCCCACCAATAACGTAGCTCCATTTTCTGCCTTTAAAAGCACACACAACCCACAATTCCTCTATTTGCTCCGTCGAAGGGCTAACGCTCGAAACGTCAGCTTTTGTAATCGTTACGGTGGCCAATTTACCATTTCAACTTTGTTGATGTATCCAAATTATTTCGTTACTCCCACCGACGCAGCCCCAAACAGTTTCTTTCGAAACTATCAGCCTTTATTTCAGAGAAACTGTTAACTTCTCATTGCACCTCATGGATCCATTGTTCTTGTCCAATACCTCCATTGAATAATTGACTCAAACTGACCCATAAAGGAAAGGCTGACTTGAATAGTTTCTCGCAGAAACTCTTGTGTGTAAGATTGGTCGACAAAACAAAGTCAACAATCGAGACAGAGTGTTCATTTCCTCCAGAGGATCTCATGCAGATGATTGTGCGCAGTTGTTCAGAGTTTGAAATGTTAAAATTCTAGATACTTTTAAACCTCCTTCGAAACTGCGCCGAAGAAGGAACATATGGATTTGAAAGCATTTTCTCGTGGCTCATAAGTGCATAAGTGGAATGTATTCCTGGGAGTCTATAAATGTCTTATGTTGAAAATCAGGACGAGAGTTTTTCCAATTTATTTTTATTGTATTTTGGTTTGTTTGTTTGTTTTTCCACCTTTCATCCTTAGTGTTACAAAGACATTGCACGTGTGAAATAGCCGATGGAATTAATGTGAGGGTAAAGGAATGAACACCTAGAATGAAAGGCAATTACTCAGACTAGAGTTTCCAAGGTAGAAATCATGTCATGGATTCCTAAAGCTTTCAAATAACTAACAATGGTAGAGAGTGGTGAGGGCTGCAATAATTGATAATTTCAAAGCAGCTAGTTATATCATTACGAGAGATTGCATGGATGAAATTCCCTTTTAAATCAGCTGCAATTTTCCTTGACAGTTACTGATTGGTCGCATCCTCGGAGACCCAGGGGCTGAGTGGATTTCAAGTTAGGGCATGAAGAGCCCAGGGGCTCTTCATGCCCTAACTTGAAATCCACTCAGCCCCTGGGTCTCCGAGGATGTGATTGGTCGTAATAGCAACGGTAACTTATATCGATATATCGCGCGAGTGACAACGTTTTTATTTCACGACGGCTCTTCTTTCAAAAAAAGCGGAGGGAAAATATTTTTCGGCAAGAAACGGTCGATCACGGAAAAAGCGCATTAATATGAGATATAGACCGACATCAAAAGAAAACAAAATTGAAGTTAAACGATGTAACTTTCACACACCACACCTCTAATGTGGAAGAAAAAGTAATAAAAATGGAAACGCGAGGTAAAGTTGTTGTGTCTTCGCAAGCCCATCTTACTTATTTGAAATAACTTACTGTCTTTGAATTTTTCCAGGACAGCTATTATCATTTTTTAATTGTTTTTTTGTAGTGCATAGGTGCGATATGAACGTGATAAAAAAGGAATACAGTATAGATCTTTACAACCTTGTATAATCTTAGTATAGGGTGCGAAACCAAAGGGATGGCGGAATATTGTACGCGACCAATTGAGAAATGGTGAGGCTAGCGTTTTTTCCTTCGATCCCCAACTTGTTCCATTTTTTAAAAGAGAGGAGCCTATTTGTCTCCTTGAGTTGCGTTGCGAGATCTTTTAATTTCCTCTGCCATTTGCAAAGTAATTTCTAGGGCTTCATTGCAAAATTCCTCTCGCATCTTTGTGGACCATGGTTGTCTTTACTTTTTTTCTAATTTTTTTTTTACACATTTTGATATCATTAAATTTCTCTCAATCAAGTCCGTTGTAGACGTGCATGATATTACTACTCCAGAGCCAAATACAGCCAGGACTAGACATGCGAAACATGTGAAATTAATTTTTTTTTCTTATGCTATTGTTTGGACAGAGTTCATTTACAACCCCTTTTATAGCATCAACAAAAACATCCACAATAATCTTTAGCTCAGATCCGTACCAACTGCTTGATGCCAATTTCAATGTAAAATTGAAACCAATTTTTAAAATCCCAGGCCAATGATGAACCAAACATCTTAAACAAGTGGCACAGATTAATAACATAAACTCGGCCTTCCTAATGAAAACATCTGAGCAATACGCAGGAAATATATAACAGTTGTGATTGGGAATTCTTAACACAAAAAAGAAACGAATGAAAAACTTACCCTTGGCGTTGAGTGCCTTGACGAATGATGCGACTGATAAAGGAAAAACATGCAAGCTCACTCATTTATGCCTTTGATTGTTTTTTGTGGTGTGGATAACATGTAAAAGTTTGCTTTTGTAATGGAAATCTGCGTTACACAAACATTGTTTTACATTACAAGGGACACCGGCTTATTGTAACACCCTGCTGTTTAATTCTCATCAATAGTGGCATGGTGTAAGGAGATTTCATTGACTATAGTGATTTCACTGACCCTTAAGCGATTTGATTCAAATCCAGATTCACTTAATTCTCTCAAACAGCAAACTGTAGAATCAAAATAGTGAAAGCCATTTTATTTCATACATGCCGTCTGAGATCGACGTTGTGAAGGCTATCGTCTGTGTCGCTGACTGGGCGGATAACTTATTTTTCACCGTCGTTCGCTTCCAATCTTTGAATGGTTCGGTCAGTCAGTAAAAATCTCAGTATATATAAAGTATAAACATCAAATCATAGAAAATGCGCACGAACGATTCTTATTCACTCGTTGCGATGTATCAAAAAACTCATAATGAATGAAAATCGTTCGTGCGCACTTCCCTTAGCATAATCTCTATGAAAGAGGTTGTGTGTTCATTATAATATGAATTACCGCAAATGCGAATTCCCCTTCGCTCTCGAATCGATATTAGCAACGAATACGCTATTTCAATCAAGTGATTAACAGCATTCATTTTCTTTCCCTTTTTTTTCTTCTTTTTAAAAGCTCTGTGATCAGTTTTATTTCACTTCGAGTTACGCGAATTAATAACGAAATCAAGGCCTTTATGAAAAAGCACTACCTACTGTTTCGTTCTGTTTATAGAGCCATTGACATCGTTTAAAACAAGGATATTAAATTCTGTTATTTACGGTTCAGAGTTTGCTGATGTCCTTCAAGTGTGAGTAGAAACACACTTTTCATTGAAAGAGTTATATACACCAAAACATTATTTCAAGTGTATTAATCTAATAAAAAAAATTAGAAATGAAAATGTCCGCTTCTATGAAAGAGGGTTGCGTGCACACAAAGATACATGAAGAAGCGGCAAACTGCACGCGTACGGATCGCGTTCTGTACACTACTAAAACTCAGACTAGGGGTAAAAATCCTGATTCACAATGCATCTCAGTTGTTTGGAGTTAATAGAGACCTTAAGCAGTCAGGACGGCAACGCCAAGGAAGACATCGATTAAAAAATGAATTTCTACTTTTAATTAGAATTTCGAAAATAGATGCACGTGTTTACCATTTCATACGGCGCGACAAGTCAACCTCAGCATAACGTTTAAAAGTAGCGTTGATTTCCAAATAGAAATTAAAATAATTTGCGCATGCCGTCGCGGTTTCGGTTCGCAGACGACGCAAATTTTGGTGAATCCACGTTGTTGTTTTGCAAAGGAAGGCCAAGAAATGTTCTAAGTTTTAAAATGCACGTGTTGAGCTATTGTTCTGCCAATTAGATCTTTTGTTTTGCCGCGTCCTTGTTATCGTCGTTGTTTACTTAAGGTCCCTAGAAGTACAAAGAGGAACGATAGCAGGTTGACTGCGTGATAAAGCCACGATATGTGTTTAACTCCGGAAATAATCCGTCAGTAAAAATGTCATTATCCAATTGAAGAAATATTTTAGTTTTCTTCTTCATAGCCTAAGGCGTTCTTTGCTGTTGTATCGTGTAGCCTCGCAACTTGCTCTTCATTTTTTTCCTTTTCGGCGGGCATGTGCGTCACATCATGTTTCCAAGCTTTGTGTTAATAATAATAAAATAATAGTAATAATAATGGTTTATTAGTACTCCACCTGGTGCCTCTTCTGTACTAATTCAAGATATACGAGATATAAAATAGGATTAAAAAAAAAACGGCAAAATCAGGAACTACTTGTTGCCAGTGTCATAAAATGTTTTCTGTATTTACTGTCGAATACTTTGGGTTCTGTACAATTTTTAATGTTTTGAGGTAGACTGTTAAATAGCATCGCAGCAGAATGTTTTAGCGTTCCGAGAACAATCGATGGTTCAAGGCGACGCTCACAAGATGATCTTAGAGCCGTTGCAGGTTTATATTTCACCAGTTTGAGGCAGGTTGGCCAGTAGTTTTGATATAAAGCCTTGCATATCGTCCTGGTTATGTGATAGTCTCGGCGATAACTAATGAGGAGCCATCCGAGTTTCGAAACATCCGACATATTCCTCATATCTCGATAACGAGTCCAAGTGGCTTCATCGTTGCTTACAAGGGCGGAGGTCTGGAGATAGTCATTAATAGATTATGCTAGTAAAAGTGGCATATTATGCTAGTAGCATTGCTTATTTTTGGCCAAATTATACTAACATTATGCTCTTTTTTCCAAATTATGCCACCGTTTTTTTAAATAATGCTCTTTGAAAAAATGCAAATAAGTCCAAAATATATATATTTTTTTAACTAGAAGCCGTTCGTCTACAGGAAAAAAACGCAACAAATCCACAATGAATT